CGGACTCAGGCCGGCATCCTGCCCCGCCAGAGCAAGCTCCGCCCCCTCTATGCACCAGTCAATGCGCACGTCCCAATCACGAAACTTCCTCTCCTAACAAGGCTGAGCCGCACCAAAGATGCGACGCTCCTCAGCAGGAGCGACGGAATTTGCAGGGCAAGGTGAGGCAGCCGTTCCGTTCTGACCAGAGCGGCTCCCTGGGCCCCCCGGCCCCGCCCTCGCTCACCAAACCAGGTGATGTGCTTGTTCTCCCAGGCGTTGGTCTTCTTCGCAGGCCCTTCCGTGGCTCCCCGACAAGGTGTCCTCCAGAAAGCGTTGACATGGGCGCCCACGTGGAAGTCTGCTCGGCGGAGGAGCCGCATCCCACCAAAGCTCTCCTTCGCTGCAGAGAAAGCACAAGGCCCCACGAGGCTGCTGGAATGCAGGCACCAGGAGGAGCCCCGAGCTGCTCCCCAAGCGCCCCCCAGCCCCTGATAGCGGGAAGCTTCAGCGCCCTCCCACGAGCCACTGTCCCGGCATTCTGTTTAGGGATCCGGGGACTAGCAGAGGAGATCCTTGGGGACAGGGAGTGAAATTGATCCAAATCTCCCCAGAACAAAGACAGAACTCAACCCAACTATCTCGCCCTGCGCAGCCACTCAGAGTTGTTGGGAGTCAGGCGGCATATAAATCTGATAAATAATGAACTCCTTTCTCATTCTCACCTTCAGGCAGGTACATGTAGACCAGGAGGTTCCGGTCCCTATCAGACACTGCAAAAGAAAGCAACGGCGTTTGGCCAGCTGCTCTTGGGACAAGAGAGGGAAGGGGCCCGGGGCCCGGCCCAGGAATCCAGAGAGAAGCAGGCCCCTTTGCCCATCTCCAGTCTGAGAACTGGTCTAGCGCATTTTGCTCCCAGGATGACCACGGGGGGATTTCAGTAGCCCCTTTGGTTGGAAGAGTTATATGGGAAAACATGCACGATCGCATAATGGAAATCAGGCTCACTGCAGCATTTGGAATGCGGTTTACTTGCGATCAAAATTTCCTGCTATGATTTCAACTCCACTCACAAGGTTGCCTTCATAATGAATCAGGATGTGCAGCGCTTTGGACCCAAAGCTGAAAAGGCGTCTGGAGCAGGTGGGGGCACGTGTGCTGCACCTCCAGCGCCTCCTTAAAGAAGGGGCTGGTTTTCCTGAGCTTGCACAGTAAATGTGCGATCCCAGAAAAATACGCGTTTTGAACTGAAGAGGCACCAACAGCACATTCATGCTTCTACCAAAAGGGTCCTTCCAGCCCTGGGATTTTACAGCCTATTGCCCCCTCTCAATGCTTCCGTAAGTCTAGTGAGATTTTCCTGGGATCGCACAGCTCGCAAGTCCAGGAAAGAGCACACAGCTTCTTTAGGGAGAGGCACCAGCAGGCGTTGCTTGGGCACGGATCCCTATCTCAAAGCCCCCTCCTCCCTCACTGCCCCCCCATATCCCTTGCCCAGCATTGTGGTGCAGGCAGAGCCTGCTGGAGCGAAGCCCAGCACCGGGGCCTAGGCTGCCCCAGCCTTCCCCAAGGCCCACTCTGACACACCAAGGAATCCCAGCTGGGCATTGTCCACCATGAAGTCCACGCTGTAGACCTCCAGGGGCTTGGCATCCTGCAGGCAAGAGAGAGAAATGGGGAGGTCAGCAGAGGCATGGGGCTGGGGGGGAACAGCCTCCGCACCACGCTCCGGAGCCCCACCCGGCTGACGAGAGACAGCGTCTTGCTCTCCTCCTGGTAGCGTAGCAGCGAGATGCTCTTCATGACGTCAGCAGCCAGGATGAAGTTCTTGACGCTGATCATCTGGTGGATGTAGAGCTGCGTGTCAATGAAGGCCATGCCGGTCAGGTCGTTGTCCTTCAGGCTCCACAGGAAAATCTGCAGCATGGTACGAGCAGGCGGGTGGGCAGGCAAGCCTGGCCCAGGGGACACGCAGGACCTGCCTCTCCAGAATCTGCCCGCCCTCCTCCCCCCTCACTCCCTCTCCCCCCTCCTTCCTACGCTAA